TAGAGGGCTTCATTGGTGCACAGAGCAGCAGTTTTATCATAGAGAGGGAAAAAATGAATAAAGGTTATAATAATTTGTGGGGTACTACACTGATTAGTAAAAATTAATGCTTAAAAAATTTTGATAAAATGCCATCGGAGAGTAAGAAATTGGTTGAGGGGCTATGATTAATGTTGTCTATAATGAGTTCTAATTTAAATAGATCATTAAAGTTAGCTGCATCGCAATCTATTGCTTTGTTGAAGAATTTGGCTTTTCTGATTTCTAGATAATTTATAAGAGGTGTAATATTTAAGTCTTTGGCTATATCCTCGTTTCTCATGCTTCAGGGAGCTCCAGTAATGCCTCTAAGACTTTTATATTCAAAAACTTGAAGTTTATTTAGATAAGTTTTATGGGCCGTACCCCAGGCTATGGAACCATATGAGAGTCGTCGTCGTTGTCTTGGGTTGCTCAAGGCCTTTTACCTTTCCATCTGGTATTCTGAATCTGAGGTAGTTGCATCTGGGATCTAGAAGAAAGGAAGAAGAAGGTGGTGGACGTGGCTTGGTGGATATTGCCCGGTGATTGGCTGGATGGCTAAGCTTGGTCTGTAGTGAAAATTTTAGATGTATTGGAAATAATTAAATTTTGGAGAAGTTCTAGCTCTTCTGCATTGTCTAAAAGTTTATCTAGTTCTGCAATTAAAAGGAGAGATCTGGCTGTTGGTGAGAGTTCTGGTTGGATGGGATTGGAGATAGTAGCTCTAGTATTACGTCTGGATTGGAGGCTCTTTTTTAGCTGGCGGGAGGGACAGCCGGTGTAGTTTGCAGTATGGGAACCGGCACAATTAGCACATGTGGCAGGAGTTGGTCTATCTTTAAGGCACTGGAAACTGCGGTGTGCTCCTGCACATTTGACGCATCTGGGTTCTTTACAACAGGATCGTTGGGTATGGCCGAAGCCCTGGCAGTTGAAGCACTGAATTAGTACCCGCCCACCACGGAACGGCTCGATTCTGATTGGACGCTGGAGATAGTTGCGAGTGGTATAGTGAAAGTGGAATCTGACTTTTTTATCATCTTGAAAAACAATGACAAAATCTAGGTCTGCATTAGCATCAGCATTTCTTTTCTTGATTGGGAAAATCTTTGTAGGGATAAAGGATGCTTTTTTTGCTTTAGAGATAGTGTTCACAATATGTTCATTCCATGTTAGTTTATCATTTATAATTATGCCTAAGTATTTAGCATTGTTAACTATGGGAATATTTTCATTGAATAGTGTTAGGTTTTCTGTGATGGGCATTTTGGTTTTATTCCTTCTCATCATCATCATATTTGGCTAGACAGCCCAGGGTGGGCCAGTGCCTTCCTTTGAATTCGAATCCACTTCTCTCTACTTTTGACACTTGTTCGCCAGTTTTTCTCCTTTAGAGTAAGGAAATCAGTCTCAACTAAATCTAGCCATCTCAGCCTGGGTCTACCTCTTTTCCTGTTCGTTAGGGGTTTGTGTAATAGGATTTTCTTTAAATTTGAGTCATCATTCCTTCTGAAAATGTGAGCTGCCCAGTTCATTCGATTTATTTTAATGAATTTCACAATATCTGGCTCTCTGTAGATTTTATACAGTTCAGTATTATATCGTCTTCTCCAGGAATTATTTATTTTTATCCCACCAAGGATGGCCCTCAAAACTTTTCTCTCAAAAATGGCAATTTTATTTTCACCAGCTAGAGTTAGGTTCCAGGTCTCAGAGCCATAGGTAAGTATTGGCCTAATTAATGTTTTATAGAGTAAAAGTTTTGTATTTTTTGATAAAAGAGATGATTTGAAAAAACGTTTTAAACCATAAAAAGCCTTATTTGAACAAATTAGACGACTCCGAATCTCATTGTCTATGTTATTGTCGGCAGTAACAATTGAACCAAGGTAAGTAAAATTCTGAACAGTCTGAAACCTGTGGGAACCAATCTCCAGATAGGATTCACTAGAATTTAATTTAGCAAGTACAGGCATGTATTTGGTCTTATCGGTATTGATGATTAGTCCCATATCCCTAGCAGCAAGCTCCAAAGAAAGGAAAGCTTCTTTTAATGCAGGAACAGTTCGTGCAATGATGTCTAAATCATCCGCATACGCCAATATTTGAATAGATTTTGAAAATATGTTGCCTCTGATATTGATTTCAGCATCTCTTATAACTTTCTCTAGAGCAACATTAAAAAGAAGACAGGATAAGGAGTCTCCCTGTCTGACTCCATTATTTACTTTAATTTCTTCAGATAAAGATCCCAAAAGTTTGACTCTGCATACGGTGTTTGACATGCTTGCTTCTACAAGTCTAATTAGTTTTGGTGGTACTTGAAACTCAACCAGGGCTTCATACAAGCGATTTCTATTAATACTGTCAAAGGCTTCTTTGAAATCAATAAAGAGATGATGTGTGGTAATACCAAATTCCCTGGTCTTCTCTAAAATTTGTCTAAGTGCAAATATTTGATCTTTAGTAGATTTTCCCTTGCGAAAACCACATTGGTAGTTTCCAATTTGAGGGTCTATATATTGTATAAGTCTCTCAAATAAAATCCCAATTAATTATTCCTTCTAATAATAATTAATTGGGATTTTTCAGCATTTATTTTAATTTTCCAGTCTTTGCACCAGTTTTCAATATCAACACAGGTGGGTTTAAGATTTTTTATGGCATTGTTTGGATTTCTAGATTTGGAAATGATGGCAGTACATCAGTTAAGTGCATAATATGCACTTAACTGATGTATTTCATTTTCATTTTTAGGGAAGTCAGCCGTGTATAAAATTGGGCCTAAGATACTCCCTTGGGGTACCCCTGCATTGATCTTCCTAGTGGTTGATAGGTCTTGATTTAATTTAATTTGAAATTTCCTATTAATATCCTTTATGCCAGACCCAATCAAACACTTTGCTTACGTCTAGCGTTAGCATTGCTGAAGTTTCTTTTTTATAAAAACCATTGCTAATATATTCTACTATTCTCAGTAATTGTTTTTCTGTAGATAAGTTTTCTCAAAACCCGTATTGCTGATTTGGAAGTAGATTTAGAAAGGGTTTGATGTTGAAATAGATAATTTTCTCAAAAATTTTTGCTATGGTAGGAAGCAGGCTAATCGGCCTGTGATTGGCTGGAATTTTCAGATCTTTACCTGGTTTAGGAAAAAGGATAATAGTAGCTAATTTCCATGAATTTGGAAAATAGTTTAAATTAAGGCAGGAGTTGTAAATATTTACAATAATATCAATATAATTAATTGGGAGATTTTTCATCATTTGATTATTTATATTGTCTATGCCTGGGGCTTTTTTGTTTTTTAGTTTCCTAATAATTTTTATAACTTCATCTTGATTCGTTTTGGTGTCTAAATTAAGGCTATTGCTATTGATAATATTATCGTATGCCTGATTTACTTTATTGGTAAAAATGGGATTATTAATATCGTTATCAGTGAATTGTTTTTCGATAGTATCAGCGAATATTTCAATTTTTTTCCTTACTATTAACAATTTTGTTACCATTAACCATAAGTGGTTGTTCTGGGGCTTTTTTATTTTTAATCCTTTTTGTAAATTTCCATATGGAGTTATCCTGTATGCAAAGGGATTCCACTTTTTGGTTCCATTTATGTGTTCTATAATCGTTACTAAGTTCTCTAATAATTTTAGTAAGTTTATTTACTTTAGTTTTATCATCTGGATTTTTTGTTCGTTGATATATTTTTCTATATTTATTTTTAGTTGAGATAAGATTTCTGATGTGTTTAGGTAAACAAAGTGATATATCGTATATTCTTTTTGTGCTTGTAGCTGTATTATGTGCTTTATTAATACAGTCATTGAGCTTCTTGATCTCATTATCTATTTGATCAGTATTGTTAAGTTGAGGAGATGTTGAGTCCTCATTTTTGAGTATGTTATGGAATAAATTCCAGTTTGTATTCTTAATATAATCTTCTTCAAGTGTATTTTTGATGAAAATATTGGCAATTACTGGAAGGTGATCGCTGGAGAGATCAGTTACCGTATGGCAATCTATTTTATGATTTGAATTTGTGATAATAATATCTAGAATATCTGATTGATAGTTACTCATTCTTAGTATATAAGTGTGCTCTGTTGGTGCAATAATATTAATATTATTTTCTATAGCGTAGTCTCTTAAGCTGCCCCTACACTATCAAGCCGCTTGATCAAATGCTTGACCCTCCGATTGATGGGAGCTTCAAGCGTGCTTCAATCAACCCTTCAATCTTTTGATCAAAACTCTCTCGTCAGTCGAAGCCGAGAAGTGGAAGCAGAACGGAGTGTGTTGCGATCGTGCTTTTGCTTTTTCGATTAAAAATAATTCTTAATAAATAATAAATCTTTTTTAATTGCTTTTTCGATTACAATGGTGTCGAATGCAGATTTGGGCTTCCTAATCGCAACATTTGTTGCCGTGAAGCGGAAAAAGATGGAAAAGAAAAAACGACGGTGGTCCAAGGAGTACAAACTGAGAAACCGCTTCACTCATGAACATCTCCTAAACTTCCTAAGTGATTCAGAACCAGAGGACTATAGGAACTTTTTGAGAATGGACCAAGAAAGTTTCGATCATCTACTGGATTTACTCCGCCCTGACATTGAGAAGAAAGATACAAAGATGCGTGAAGCGATTCCTGCAAGTCAGAGATTGTCTATCACATTGAGGTACCTGTCGTCTGGCATGGATTTAGAAGATCTCAAATTCACATGCGCCATTGCTCCACAGACTCTGCAACTCATCATAATGGAAACTTGCTCTGCAATGATCAAGGCATTGAAGGAAAACATTCAGGTTAGTAATTATAGCCAAGTAAATNCTAAATCCAGGCTAATGCAAAACTAGATATTCAGGACGATAGAACATGAATCCCGGTTATGCCATAAACTCGGCCCATAACCTTGACAGCCGAGATTCTCGCAGAATATCATATTTGTCATGTCAACAATAAAAGAGAAACGAAGTTTCTGAATAAATGAGTTTATTTAAAAACATTAGTAATAAAGAATGTCACAAACAGAGTGACGAAAAGAAAGAATACAAAATGATCTGCTTCAACAGAAGCTTAAATACAGATAGCAGGTGACGTCATGATCCACGCAAGAACGACCAACAGCAAATGAAAATAAACTGGCCGATCCCCGCAGACCATGACGTCACCGACGCAAGTTGAATGCATGAGATCGACGACGGAAAATCGAACCTCATACCTTTTAACTTCTATTATTTGTCTAACAGTGAGAATGCTACTTCCCGCATGTTTGAGCAGTTCATGCTACGAATGGAGTAGTACATGGTTTAACTGTTTACAAATTGCTTGCGTAATGGTTTGTAATTTTCATTCTTAGAAATGCGCCATTCTTAATTTTTCTAAACTCTTAGATTAAAAAAAAGTCCGAGTTTTGTAGTTAAAAAAAAAAAAAAACATTTATAAATATGTAAGCTATAAGCGTGTTGTGCGTTGCAGCTCACTGGTATTCTTTAGTGTGTTGTTGTCTGTTGAAATTTCTTTGTTTTGTTTTGTTTATTAATGTTAATCAGATTTTTATAGCTTTTGAATTTCCACAAACTATATTTGAACAAGAACTATATTTGATTTGAAACTATATTTGATACAAGAACACACAAAATCATTTTGCATGAAAAATAATTTGCGAAAAATTTCTAGTTGAAGTTATGTTTGCTATTAGAGTTGTGTTACATCTAACATCTATTCACAAAAAATAAACCACCCATTTATGTAGATTTTTGCTGTAATACTATAGAATGTAGTATCACTTGTGACAACAATGCAGTTTTCGTGGTTATGGCCTGTAAAAATTTATCTAATTTATGAATTATTATCAATTAATTACTCTATATCTGTAATTTTTATTGGAATTATATGATTCCCAGTGTTTGCGAATTTCTTGATTTTTTAAAAATAATAAAAAAATATATTTATTTTAAACTATGATTGTTTTTAATTTTTAAATCAAATTTTTTATTATTAATAACCAAATCATCTGATAAAATGTATATAGAGCATATTATACATTGCTAGTATTGTTATAAAATGGATTATAAAAAAAATTAATTTAACTGAAATTGTTGATATAATTGCTAGTGATTTATTATAGGTGCCAGTCTTAATTTCTATTTTAATAAAAAATAATAATTACATGGTTATCAATTTTTTTATTATTTCTTCACAATATATGTCGTAGCATCCATGTATGCTCTTAAAGATATTGTTTGGTTTAGTAATCTTTGTTTCAAAGAATATAATCTGTCATTAACTTTCTTATAAACAGCTTTCTGCTGTGGAGGATTCTCTGAACCGCAGAGCAACATTCTTCTTTCAGCAATATTTTCTTCTTCAATTTCTTTCATTTTATTCACAAATATGTAAACATTAGGTTTTGGTGACATTCCACTTTTTTGTAGCTTGGAATGCCATCCTTCAACGTTGTTATTTGTCCGAATGTTGTCATCTGTGGAAAAATGGTTCCAAATATCCCTGTAAAAAATATATATATATTGAAAGATATAAAAATTTAGGACCAGCCATTTAAAAAAAATATTTTTAATCAAATCATATACCATTATACCGATAAATATTTGGTTTATTACACTAAATTAAAAGTTTCAGTATAAACTTAAATCTCTATCAATGTTTTTTTTTATGCACTTCTATTAAAACCGATATTTCTTAAAGTGCACTGATATTTATAAACACATTGTGACTTGGCTACAATGTCTTTTTTAAAATTATTGTATTCCTAACATAGTTTTAAAACATAGTTACTCAACTGAAATTAGTAAATTCATTAATGTTACTGACAGGGAGGAAAAAATCTAAATTTAACTTCATCAGAAGTGTAATACTGCCAGTATATTGTCGTAATTTTTAAACTTCATTTTTTTAGAACTTAATAAAATTCTATGTGTAAAAAATTAGTAGAAATTAACTACTGAATAATTAGTAGTTGATTTCTAAAATCTTAAATACCAGGCATAATTTATTAGAACATAATATAATGTTCTTATAAATTCTACACAATAACATTATGCTTGTAACATAATTTTCGTAAGTACCATTTATAATTATATGCACATAATTTATAAAAATAAAAGCCTGTGTTTTTGGATGAAATTCCTTTACAACACCATAGTAATTTAAAGTTAAAACTCACACAGTGAACAAAGCCTCTTCTTCTAACCAAGTATCAGTGAAATATGAAATCAAATCTGTAATGGGAGCTGTCCACGTTACCTCTGCAACTGATATAAAAAATGCCTCATCAACCTGGCCCAGGGGTACAAAAGGCATTGCCATTAATCGACGAATAAATTGCCTGATTTCTGCTGTGTTGATGTAATGAGATACCAGTCCCAACTCTTGTACCTGAAAAGAAATTTTTTAAACAACTCTAAAAGTTTCAAGAATTTTTTACCATCTATCTTACTAATATTACTTATATTTAAATTAATATTATATAGATTTTTTCTTAATGGTGCTTTCTTTACGTTTCACTAAATAAGATACTTATAATTGAAATGCATTCATGTTGTAGTGTAAGCATATATGTTTTGCATCTGTAAAACTTACATTTAATTATGTTTAGTGCAACACTTGTTTGTGTTTCTTAACCTTATTATATCAGCCATTTATGTATGAATCATAACTTGTTTTTAATAATGCAAGATTCAATGAAACCAGAAACAATGTGGTGTTTTACAGTCGAATTTATTGATCCATTGGCTTAGCATTTTTGATTAAGTCACCTGGCGGGGTGACTGCCAAATACATATTTGTTCTGTGACTGCGAAAAGTAGTGAAAAATTAAAACTTACTTTTCGCCAAATTGATTGCGAGTAGTGGAAATGACATCCTTTAATCTTTACAGATGGAACCTCTTCTTTTAAGGCATTCATACTTCAAAATCCATCATTGCATATGAGGGGCAAAATACCAATCCATTACTCTCAGCCTTAAGTTTTATTTCAGAAAACAGTCTCTTATATGTACATTTCTGTTTATCTGGTAAAAGGCTGTAAAGTAATGGAAATATTTTCCCCTCATATGCCCCATGAATGGTATAGATTTGTGTAAAAAGTCTTGGGGCCATTTTAAATGTCCCATCCATAAAAATCTTATTACAAGAACACAAAATATTTAGGGCCTCCATTGTGCAAAATGCCTGAAAAATAAATACAATTGTCTTTATTCAAATTAGCAAGTAATAGTTTAATAATAATCGGAATATTAAAAAATTTTTATTACAGCAAATAATATCAATAATTTCTCGAAAAATGAAAAAACTATGATTTTGTTATTTGTGGCTAAAAAATTTAAAAAGTAGATGCTTCGATAAGGATCTGTTACCTATATACTCTTAATGTGAACATTTTTCAAAGGTTTAATAAATTTGCGATCAAAGTTTATTTTAAACCAAGAGAGGTCCTATATTATATGTTGCCCTATGCACTTGTTATCAAAGCAATTTTTTGAAAAGGGGGATATATTAATTACTATTTTTCAAAAACTAATTTTTTTAATTGTTTGTATTTGCATATTTAATATTTCATATATTTTTAAATTTCATCTCCTTAATATTTCCATAGTATTAATAAGAAAATTTTTAAAATGTCATTCTTACCTTTCAATAGGTATTCAGAAAACACTTATAAGCATATTATGTTCATATAATAAATTATATTGTTTAACTTTAATTTTTACTTTAATTTAAAGTATCACTTGCTTTTTCTTTTCATGAAAAATTGTTCTCTGAAATAATCATATTATTTAAAAATAATATTTAAAAATTGATTTGAAAGAAAGTAAAATAAAAATAAACTTTTCTAAAGGTGACAAAGTTTTGTATTACTCATTTTTTTAAAAGTCAAATTCTGCAACAGTTTTTAATATTGATTTGGCAAATGAGAAAGATATTAATTCATGAAAAATTGCATTTGGGTTACACTATTTATCACTTGTTTTATATGAATTAAGGAGTTAGATATTATGCAAATACAAAATAGAGATGTTATACGGCTATGATGCGATACACCATGGTATCAACATCTAGTGATGATGAATTGGATTGACCCAATGGATGTGCTAACAGCAAGCATTTAATCAAAGTTATGACCAGGGCAGAGAGACATGCTGTATACTCTGATATCAATTCATGTGTCATATTCTTATTCGTATAAAAAAGAAAACAAATTAAAATTCGCTTTTTCTACAATTAATTACTATTGAGCAAACAGAGGAGGTATAGCTATTTTTCACTAACATAAGCAAACATGAACTATGCATTCACAAGCAAAAATGTTTTTTTCTTTGTAAATTCCATTTTAAACAGTGGGGCTGTCAGAATTGTAATTATTTAAATATGTAAAATAAAACAATTTAAAACATGCATAATCTTTTTTATGAAAATTGAAAAATATATTTTGGGAAACAAAAAGATGCCAACTAACTCATTGAATAACATCTCTTACATCTCCATTTTTTAAAGAATATTGTTAAAAGTGTATGAAATTTCGAGTATATTTTATAAAAACAATAAGATTACTTAACAGAGCTGTGAAATAGAGAATAAATATAAATAATATGAGGTTTGTCTCGTGCAAAGAAAATTATACATACCAGTATTCTGTTGTTTTCTCCATATCTTTCATCAATTAAAAGGAAGTCTTCTCCATTTTTTGTTTTTCTCCAGTCATCTATCAGTATAATTTCTTCCAGAGTTGTTGGCATTGGAGGCAAAGCATCTGACCTAGCCCGGTACATGGGTGCCATTGCTGCATTTTTACTTGGCAGGTATGACGCCAACTCTAGGGTTGAAGCAAATTTTGCTACTGTGTCTCTGAAAAATTAAGAATAAATTAAAATTCATCATATAATAGTTTTATTTTTCTTTTGCTTGAGATTATAAGTATGCCTGAGACCACAGCTCATAACTTGATGAATTAATGTTCTGTCTATTCTATATTTAAAGATTTTTTTCTTTACTTGCGCAGTCTTTCACTGTTTTCAAATCTTTATTTCTAATGAAAAGTATTGGATTCTCTGTTTTTGTAATAAACATATCATTATTATTATCTGATCGTCATGAGAGATTAAATCTTAAATAATTTCAATAAATTCTCATTTATAAAGATGCTAATTAGTAACATAAAATTATTTATACTAATATGCATGTTATCCATTTCCTTTTTTTTGAAGTCTGAAGAAAAAATTAAGGAGATCCATCTTCAAAAAGAGCCAACACTGTCACTGTTAAAAAACACACACACAGAGACATATATATATATATATATATAGAGAGAGAGAGAGAGAGAGATTGAGAGTTCTTTCATCTAACTACATGATAGGAAAATTAATTATAATGTAATTTTATATACAAAAAATATTTTGTATTTAGATAATTACTTTAAAAGTTTGGAGGTATTTTTAGACCCTTAACTTAAAAGTAATAAATTCAATAATAATTCAGTAATTCTAATTCCATAAAATACTTTTTACAGATATGTATAATTTTTTTTTTCAAAATTAGAGAATTAAACTAAGTAAAGAAAAAGAAGAAAAAAAATGAAACTAATTTAACTTACCTATATATACTGGGCACTGGTGTTGAGAATTCTGTCCTACATCTTTTTTTCAGTTCATTGTAAAAACTTTTTCTTACAATTTTACCCTTATCAGGCGCATGGGTATGCTGAGCTTTATGACTTACTATATGATCATTTTCTAGAATTAAGGAAGCTTTACAATCATCTGAAATACATTTATAATATATTTTCGTTCTATGTTTCCTCCTTATTCTAAATAAGAAATCATTAAGTAAAACTAATTTACCACCTCGAATTGATTCAACATACTCAAACTGAGCCATTTTGTTTGCATGTAAATCTTGGAGCCAACCTTAAAAAGTGATAAAGATAGTGGTGTTATCTCTTCCCTCTTTTACAAACAAAACTGGAAATTCAACTCCTTATCAACCCATACCCAATATAATAGGTGCTCATAAAAGAAAATTTTTTTGTTTTGTTAATTTTTAATACTTTTTATTCCTGTACTGATGCACTCTTACTCTTTCACTTATTTTACACTACAATATTTTAAATCGTTAATTTTTTAACTGGAATTTTTAAATTTTTCTCATTATTTTAGAATAATTTAAGTCAAAATAAGTGAAAATATTATATTTAGCATTTTAATAATTTATGATTACGAAGTACAAAATGAAACACCGTTGTTTTTCCTGTATTAAAATTTTATAAACATGCCGCTTCCAACCAATCTTCAAATGTGCACTTATTTAGATTTAAATTAAGAAAAACAATTAGTCATTATTGAAATTACAAAATTAATTATTGGTATACTTTTGAGTAAGAATTATTGATACAATTTTATAAAAAAAAACTTTCGAATAACGCTTTTAAAAAAAATTCACAAGTTTTTTCCTGATAATCTAAACGAATTTTTAGTAACTATTCGAGTATTTTTTAAAGTTAAAAAATACCTAAATATATTTTTGCTTATAATTAGAGCGTCAGAAAAAAAAATTAAAACGGACACCATTCTCCAATCTACGTCAAAAGATTATTAATATGCTACCTTTGTAATTTTTCGCCTACACTTTACGACGAAGACAAATGAATCAACAGCAACAAAAGCATTCATTAAAAAAAAATTGAAAGCATTGCTTTATAAAACTGAAGTGCCACGATTAGCTTTTTTTTATTATTTTGTAAAAAAAAAATTTTAATCGAGTCTTTTAATGTTTATGAGTATTTTGACTATTACATAGTAAGAAAATTTTAATCATAAAGCATCTTTCATGGTAATATCATGTTACTATTCATAAAGCACCTTTTATGAACGGTAGCATCTTCACTTGAATTCCATAAATAACTATCATTGTGGTATACTGATTTTTTTTTACTATCATTTTGAGGTTTCAAAAAATAAAAAAGCAAATGCTACAGTTTGATTATTCCCAGCATTTTCAATCGGATAATGCAATGCAGTATGCCCTTCAAATTTAAGTATAAAAAATGCACGAAGACACACGATATGTATAGATAANGTTAACATCGGTATTCCTCCCCCCCCCTCGTCATTTGAACGGTACCCATGACAAAAACACTCGGAAATGTCGTGTAATGTTTTAACTCAAATCCCTAAAAATCCCTTGCGCAACCGAAAAATTCCGCAAGTTTCACTCTCCCACTAAAGGAAGAATTAATCAACTATGTCTCTCAAAACGGAGGTAAATCGGTTTTCCATTTGAGACCCTTTATCGTCATTGGCATCATAAAGATTTGGCGAGTAATCATCTAAGGGAACAGGTGCGGTTTTTCAATAGAGCTCCTCCGCCCACCTCATCAATCATTCAGGTAGGGGAGAAACCTTTAGGCGAGATCTATAAGACAGCAGTGAACTAATATGAAAATCCTTCTGTATGATTAGTCATCTAAATTTTCACCAAGTATTGATATTTGAAAACTTTAATAATATAGATTAAACTTTAATCAATGTAATAGTAGACTTTAAAAATATTTACCGTAAATTCAGCTATTTTCTCGTGATAAAAAACCTTAACGATTTTTTCTCTTAAAGCTACGTTGTTTAATAATACTTTACTTCACCATTAGTATTTATTTATCCTTTCAAAATGTTGAATGATGAGAGTTAAATGGTAACTGATGTTTCTTGATTACAGCTCTCTTAACTCTAATTTTTTTGAATATTTAGAGTTATAAGCTAGTATTTCTTTTGGCTGTTGCTTGGCTGACCACTTTTTTAATAAATAGAGGCATTTGATTG